AGTACAAAATTGTCCTTGCTTCAACAAAATTGGAGTTTGTTCTTCCTATTCTTTCCTCCAGAAGCGCCATCCCGGGATCCCCTATTGGAATTCCCCTGTGCTCGTAAGTTGGTGACTCCGTGCAGAAGCTAACATACCCATATAGCTTGATTCGTTTGCCCACATCGAGTTCAGTTTCTCCAGTAGAAATTGGAGTAGCGAAAGATTACACATAGCAGCAGAGGTAGATGTGTTACGAAAGACTAGCAATAATATTGCAATAGCTAGTAATTGGAAGCATCGGGAGAACTAATGAGGGACTGATGGAAGAATGGTAATTGAAAATGTGTTTACTATGAAATTATATTTATACTCCGTACTTTATTTTTCTTCCAAATGAGGCTATACCGCATTCTGAACAATTCTTGTGAGCTAAACACGCATAATTAATTGTTTTGGTCGTTGCAGGTTTGAGGAATGCTGTGAATTCTTGAACGAAGAAGATGACGGGCAGGGGTGAGGAGAGGGTCAATTTGGGTTTAATTGAAATATTCAACCTAATAACTCTCCCTGAAGTTTTAATTATTTACAAAAATACCTAAAAGCTATTAAAAGCACCCTCCAACCACATTTGAACTTCTAGCTTAAAAGTGCTTAAATTAATCAGAATTTTGGGTTTGCGAGTACCCATTTTGGCTTTTTTGATCAAAAAAGTTCAAAAGCACTTTTTTGTAGAGTTTGCAAACACACCTTAAAGGAGTGTTTGGGGTTGCTTAAAAAAAGCACTTCTCAACTTTTGGCTTAAAAAAAGTTGAAAATAGTGTTTTCAAATGACAGCTTCTGCTTAAATTAATCACTTAAAAGCTAAAAGCTGGAAGCAGGTAGAAGGGTGCTTTAAACTGCTTCTCACTTTTTCTATTACACAAAAAGTACTTATTTTACCAAACACTACCAACTTTTACTTTTTTAGAATCACTTTTTTCTCAAACACTACCAACTTTTACTATTAATCACTTTTCCCAAAATCACTTTAAAAAATCACTTTTTTAAAGTTGAAGCAATTGCAAACACTCCCTAAGAGCAACCCCAATGGGGCGCTGTTCTGTCTTTGTTTAGTGTGCCATGTCATTAAAGTCGACACTTTGGATTTTTTAGACTCTCCAATGCTGACAGTCTTTATAGGATTTTGCTGATCTGGCAAAAAAAAAATTAAACACCGTGAAGGCCCAAGTGCGAGTGAAGAAAGCCTCGAAAACTTGATGACTCAGAAAAAAGAGGCGCCGCTACGTAAAAAAGAAGAGGGAAACGAAAAACTCCCGGTCATTTCTTGAAAACTCCCACACGTCTTTATATTCTCAAGCTTCTCAAATCATCAAGAAGTCTGGTTCTCTCAAATTTGGGAAGAAGGTTGGTTCCGTCGAATCATGGAAGAAGTTGGGTTCTCTCAAACTGCTGCTCAGACTCCATTTCTCACCGCACAGGTTGGTACAATTTCATATGAACAAAAGCATCTTTTGATCTTAGCCGCCTCGAGATACAAGCTGTTCGTCATTGAACAATTTTTTGCTTTAGGCATACTGTTATTTTGCTACTATCTAGTATAATCATCGCATAATTTGTGGTATTTAATGTCTGGGTTGATTTTATTTTACAAAATTTACAATTTCCAATCATGCCTTCTGAGTTGAATATGTTCTCTAGTTTTGGTTTTGTTTGTCAGTACTTTTCGTCCAAGTCTCCAAGGTTGGATTTTTAAATTTCGATGCTCAAAAATTTAATGTCAATGGATGATTATTGAAAGAAACCAATCTGGGAAATTCACCAAATAGGTATTCTTACATCTTTTACATCAATTCTTCATGTTCAATGAATTAACAATAAGGAAATACGAAATGTTGTAGAGTTCTTACAAACCTGGACAGTCTTTAGGCTTAGCCAAATACATACATTAATAGTTGCACATATACATACTGCAATTCTATTGACCTCATTTTCCCAATAAAGCCAAAAAAAAGTACTCCGTAGTTAATAACTTGTTTGTTGTTCTTATCTGTTCATTCCCACGGGTAGGATATGTTTTTCTTTCAATCCTTTTTTTGCTCCAGCAACTTATGTAGACATTTAGTTTGGTGTATTATCAAAATAACAATTTTAATTACTTTAGTCCTACTTTGTTGTGTTAACAATTTGCCTTAACTCTAGAGCTGCCCCCTAACAAGTAACATCAGAACTAAAGATTATAATGTTTTACAATTAATCTGGATAGTGGAAAAGCTTAATCAATAGCTTCAGCTAATTAACTAGCATTATGAAAAGTATGACTTGCTGTGAGATAACATTATATTGATACATCTCGGTTTATTGGCTGAAGCATTTCTGGAGACAATATGATTTCTATAAATACCATTAGTCTATGTTTCTTTTTGCTCATTCTATTGCTCAAAGTTTAACTTCTAATATGTATTCTACACTCACTGATAAAAGATCTCATGACATGATACTTAGTTATGTTGTAAAATAGTCTTGTAGTCTAATGAATCATATGTTTAGTAGATCAATTACAGCATTAACACCAGTTATTTTCAGACCATATTGAATGAGAGGTTGTAAGTTCCAGGGAAGACAAAATAAAAAAGATTCTTATGGCTTATCTAATAAAGGGAAATTGTGGAGTATCTGATATGATAAAGTTAATAGTTTATATGATGTGCAGGTACAATTTGACATGGATTCAGGGTCTAATCCGTTTTCAAGTTCCCAGCATCCCAACCATGCTAACCTGTCAAGCCAAATTCCAAATCAATTTACTCCCATAAGCCATCAGTTTCAGCCTCCATATCAGTTCAATCCATTAAATGGTTCTTATCCTCCTTACAATAACCTGCCTTACGGATCTCACTTCTCATTTCAAAATCTCTTAAGCACTCCCAATATTTCAAGTGAGCCTACTGAAACACACAATTCACGTGGAGGAGGAAGAAGGAACCCCAAAGGTGTCCATGATAGTTCCAATACTTCTCAACCTTTCACTTCTAAAAGAGAATATTGGAGTTTAGAAGAAGATGTTGCACTGACAAATGCATGGCTACGTATTTCTATGGATCCTGATGTTGGTAACAATCAGAAACTGACAGCTATGTGGGAGCGAATCTTACAAGTTTGGAGGGATTCCATGGGAGATAAATTCACTAATGCCAGAAACAGTAACAGCGTCCAATGCCGTTAGCAAAAAATACAGAAAGCAATCAATAAATCCACGGAATTTATGAAAAACTTGAAAGGCATCCTCAAAGTGGATCTAACCCAGAAGATTTAGTACGTGTTCCTTTATATTTTTGTTTATTTTAGCTATGCATATGAAAGCACAAATACATCATTGCATTGTTTTTTGTTTGTATTTTGACAGAAAAAGAACGCGTTGAGAATGTATGAAAGGCTTTCAAGTGGTAATAAGATAAAACAATTCAAGTATATGCATTGCTGGGAAGTTCTGATCAGGAATGTGAAATGGTGCACAAATCAGCTTACAAGGTCATCTACATCTGATAAAGACTGTTTAGTCAATGGTAACACAGTGGTTACAGATAAGAACACACCTAATGTGGGCAATTGTTCTGTGGAGCCTGAAAAAGTTACATGTGGTGAAATTGTGCGCCCAGAAGGAAGGAAGAGCTGTAAAGAAAGAAAGCGTAAGTTGAATTCAGAAAATGGAGTGATAGAAGTGTTGAGTAAATTACAGTGTACCTTAGACAAGCAAGTCGAATTTAATATGGCAGACATGGAGTTGAAGAAGGAACTAATGAAGAAGGAGATAGAACTAAAAGAGCATAGTAAAAAAATGAAGATGAAGGATCAAGAAATGAGAGAGCGAGCCCAAAAAAAATTAGAACAAGAACGTGTTATGAATCTTGATTTGAGTAAGCTGTCCCCTACAGCTCGAGCTACATATGAAATATTACAAGCTCAAATATCAAAGGAGTGGGAAAGTGGCGGCTTTTATACCTGAATACATTAGAGATACATTAATGCATTTTAGTTTCAAACATGTCAGTGTCATTTGATTTCAAAGACTTTACTCTTCCTTTATAGCATTAGTGAATTAGATGGTATAATTATATATTCCCTAAGAATATATGAACCCGGCCTGTTTGTTTATTAATGACATTATTCATCGTTTTCCCTATAACATGTATTGTTTATTTTTTGTCCATCTCTAATCGTGAGCTATCAAGGAATGATAAGTGAAAGGAAGTGCTTACTTTTCTCAAATGAAAATCCACTGTTCTTCAGAATTTTAGCCACTGTAACAACTGTAGTGTTGCTGCAAGGTTTACCTGGCATACATCCCCTTTTTAACACTTCTTTCTCTTATTATGAATACATATTTAGGCATTGGGGATGCAGCCATCATATCAAGGAGTTCAGCCTGTAGGGAGTGGTGGTAGAATGTACTTGCATAACAACGTACAGTTACTGCCTGCAGCACCCACACTCCTCATGAAGGGGTAAAACACTAAACTTTTATGTAACTTAACATTGGACAACCATTCAGAGCAGTAACTTCTATACTCCCTCTTTCACAAAGAGCCCAGGTTTTTACAAAAAATGTCCCTTAAGAAGATTCATTTTGCAAAATTCAAACTTAATTCTAAGTGAACTGTCAATAATGCACATGTTGCAAAATAAAGAGAGCTTCTAACACCTTATGCTCCAGCAGAGACAATGAAAGCAACATCTTTTTTCTTGTTGCACGGGTTGATTAACTAGACAATTAGTTGGAGGGCGAGGATCAGAACTCGTGACTTGAGAAGACTTTTACCTTGCTCAAGTTCACAAAGGATTAGAAAGCAGTATCCTCTACATACATGACAATTTCCTTAATAGGGAGTATATGCAACACAACATACCCCTCTGTTCCATATTAGTCTCCCATTTCAGTTCTCACTATAGAAATTTTTTGTTTTTTATAATAATTTTGAAGTTTCATACAGTTATATTTTGTAATGATGAAAAGAAAATAGAGTTAATATACTAAAACAAGTCTATTTTGAAGGGAAGGAGTAAATGTTTACATTGTTCTAAAAACATGTAAGATATAAATATTATAATCAGTGAGCGGGCTACAAATTTAAATTAAAGACGAGATAATGGATCATATATAAATGTTATTAAATTAAATTAAAATTGGGGGTTCACAAAATGAAAAAAAAAATTAATCATCAACAACTTGACCACCATAGACTTCCCACAGATGGTTGATGAGATCCTTTTTTAGTTCTCTATGTAACCACGTGTCTTGTATCTGCTTTGTTCGATTAACCATCATGGACATAATTAAGGTAAAGTCATGCTCTAGACTAACACCTTCACTGGGTTCATCTCCTTCGTCCCGCCAATCTTCTGGATTAACGCCTTGACTACGCTCATTCTCAATAATCATGTTATGTAAGATGATGCATGTCTTCATAATCTTTCCCAAGTCTTTAGCACTCCACATTCGAGCAGGTCCTTTAATTATATGCCATCGACTTTGTAACACACCAAATGCTCGCTCAACATCCTTTCGTGTTGCTTCTTGTTTTTTTGCAAATACCTTTTCCTTGACAGACAATGGTTGGGATATTGTTTGGATAAGAGTAGCATACTTTGGATATATCCCATCAGCTAAATAATAACCCATGTCGTACTCATGACCTTGAACAATGAATTTGCATGGCGGAGCAATGCCATTTATTATATCATCAAATAGGGGTGATCTATCTAAAACGGTAACATCGTTGTTACTACCAGCCATTCCAAAAAAAGCATGCCAAATCCATAAATTCTGTGAAGCTACAACTTCTAAAATAAGAGTGGGAACTCTTTTAAAACCATTCGTATGCGTGCCATGCCAAGCAGTGGGACAATTTTTCCATTGCCAATGCATACAATCCAAGCTGCCAAGCATACCGGGAAATCCTCGAGTCTCATTTTCTTCTAGGAGCTTTCTAATATCATCCTCGTTTGGTTTTCTCAAATAATGCTTTTCATAGAGTCATATAACAGCATCACAGAAACGCTTCAGGCTTTCAACCGCGGTACTTTCTCCAATTTGAACATATTCATCAAGCAAATCAGCTGGACAACCATATGCAAGCATACGTATTGCTGCAACCATCTTCTGGAGGGGGCTTAACCCAATGTTTCCAACAGCATCTGCCTTTTGTTGAAAATAATTGTCATAGTTCTCAACATCTTGTAGTATTCTATTGAATAATTCAATATTCATTCTAAATCTACGACGAAAAAGTTCGGGGGTGTACTTTGAGTTTTCACCTTTAAAGTAGTCATTAACTATTATGTCATGACGCTCTTTCCTATCACGGCGAATATAGCATCTACCTGATGTTGAACCATCAAGAGAGAACTTTACGGCGGTCAACATTGAAGAAACAATCAAGGGAGCATCTGAATTCTTATTTGCGCCATGAAAGTAATGTTTGGAAAGTGAAAGTTCAGTGTCACTTGAAGATGAACTATTAGAGTCTGAATCAAAATTCGGAGAAGCCATATCCATCAACGTAAACCTGTTCAAACACACGCACACACAAAGAATCAACACCATGATTCTTATACGTACTATAAAAAAATTGCATAATTTAAAACTAATGAATAAAAGATTATATATATATATATATAAACAACAATACTGTATATAAAATAATGCACACACACACACACTCATATATATATATATATATATATATATATATATATATATATATATATTGCTTTTTCTGAACTTAATACCCACTTTATTTAAAAAAACTTAACAACCCACTTACTTCATGTGAGTATGGACTATGGATGACACATATGTTAATATACATGTATGTATATAGAAATTGTTGAGGTTTTGTCCCGCAGATCCGGAAGCCCAACATAAACTTCGGATATTAAGGACGATCGATTCGGTATAAACATAAATAAAATATATATAAGGTGTATGAACTAGCTATTTTTACGTGGAAACCCGGAAAGGGAGAAAACCACGGGACTTTTTAGGCTAACGTCCAAGCCCGCTCTTTTTCATTAATATGCTCTCCTCACCAATTACATATTACAACTCTTGAACTCCATTAATGGAGGTATAAAGCTATCTATCAAAGGGGAAGAAGAAGTATGGAGGAGGAGAGCCAAAAGATCAGATCCTTTCATCAGGAAGCCAACCTTCCTATTTATAGATGGGGGAGGGAGTAAGGGTTTTCTCCATGGGCCTTGTTGGGCCGGAATGGGCCGAGTAGGTCCCAACGGGCCGGTTGGCCTAAATGATCCTTGCTAACTGGGCCCTGTACCGGGGCGGTGTATTGGGCCTCTAAACAGTAGTAGGCCGGGGTAATATACCCAACAGAAATATACTACTATAACACACGTATGGCCAAATTATACATACAAAACAATGTATGAAAGTTCTAATAGGAAGCTGAATCCAAATCCACCTGCAATCCCATTTATCGCATTACAAAACTATGCATATGCCACCTTGATATATCTCCAAATCCCATGGATCATAAAAGAGGTATGTAGTATATATAAAATTGAGTATGTACTCATATATACGTATATATAATTGGGTTTTATATGAGTTTAATAATTGAGTATGAAATATTATCGTTGCTTATTCATACGTATAAAAAAGCTGAAAAAATTCGGCCATGTTACTTGTGGAGCCCGTTCGTGCTGCATAAGAGCGACGGTTGCCATCCCAGAGCAAGGATGGACGAGCCCGCCAGAAAGCCAGGCACGACGGTGCTGTGGAGCCCGTTCGTGCTGCATAAGAGCGACGGTTGCCATCCCAGAGCAAGGATGGACGAGCCCGCCAGAAAGCCAGGCACGACGGTGCTGTGGTGCCCGTTCGTGCTGCATAAGAGCGACGGTTGCCATCCCAGAGCAAGGATGGACGAGCCCGCCAGAAAGCCAGGCACGACGGTGCTGTGGTGCCCGTTCGTGCTGCATAAGAGCGACGGTTGCCATCCCAGAGCAAGGATGGACGAGCCCGCCAGAAAGCCAGGCACGACGGTGCTGTGGAGCCCGAACGTGCTGCATAAAATAAGCGATCGTCATCCTAGATTAAGGATGGACCAACCTGACTCGGACAGACATGGACTTGACTCGACTCAAACAGACCTGGACTTGACTCAGACGGACATGGACTTGACTCGACTCAGACAGACCTGGACTTGACTCGAGACCACCGCGGGCCATCATGAATTCACATCACCTCCCAGCCAATTTATATCCCCCGTTCGCTCGCCTTCGCCGAACGGGTCGTTCTCCCCTGGTCGTTCCAAACAATAGTTCCATTCGCCCGTTCGTCCCACTAGAACGGTCTGATGTACAATGATGATCACGTCGTGCCGAGGTGGCTGATCGTAGAGCTACAGAAGCGGTCAGATCATCTGGATAATAGGTCATTTCTGCTATAAGTCAGCACCAGGGTTAAGGTGCAAGCTGTTCGGCTTATTTCCGATATTTGTTCGTAGTTTCCTGATCCGCAAGGCATCACCTCTTGCTGCCTGCTGCCTTGTAGGCCCAAGGCTGATGTAACTTGTTCGTGTTATCATCCGTGTTCAACCTGATCCGCAAGGCAATCACCTCTTGCTGCAAGACAGTTTCACAATTTGTGTAGTGTCTGCCATCTTCCAAGCCCATAATTCCGATGCATACCGTCGGTTTTACCGTCCGGGGTCATCCATATCATGAGGTTGAGATGTCCATCCTGGACCATTGAGAATAAGGCTCCCAAGCCGGGTCTCCCCCTTATTCTCTGCCAAAATGGAGACTCGCCTTCAGGTTACAGCTCGGGTTCCACCACAATAAATCACTACATCGTGGTTCGGGCGAGCTGCATAGCCAAGGCAAGATTTTAAGACCAGAGTCCCGATCCCCCGCTCGGTCACCCTATGACTTCGGATGCCGCCCGGTTCGTCCTACTCAAGATCTTTTACACCATCTCCCAAGCTGAGTCCGGGCTTGGTTAACCTGCATCTTTTTTTTTTTTTTTTTTTTTTTTGTGCTGAGATGGTGGCTCCCCATGGATCGAGACAAGTGGTATCTATCGATCGAGGTGAGACTTTATGGAATGTGAAGATGCCTCCTAAGCAAATAATGTCGTGCTGTGGGGCTGATCTTGATATGAGAAACATGAATAAATCCAAGGGTCTTGCGAGCGCCCTCTGCTCAAGGACAACGGCAGCAACTGCGGCAGCGGTCCACAAAATGTAGCCATGCTGAAAGTCAAGCAACGGTCCTTATCCGCGCAGTGCGGGGACGAGGCCGGTCTTCAAATATGATAATGGCACCGTACGAGAGGGTCGGTGGCCATGTAATGATGTCGGCGCTGGGGGCCGATCGGAAAGGAACTAGCAACGGTCCTTATCTGCGCAGTGCGGGGACAAGGCCGGTCTTCAAATATGATAATGGCACCGTACGAGAGGGTCGGTGGCCATGTAATGATGTCGGCGCTGGGGGCCGATCAAAAACAAATAATCAACGGTCCTCATCCGTGAGGAGCGGAGATGAGGCCGGTCTTCCAAATGATCACCATGCCGAGCCAGGAGAGTCGGTCGTGGTGAGAGAAAAGTCGGCGCTGGGAGGCCGATCTGTAAATCCGAGGGTCTTACAGGCGCCCTCAGCCCATAATGTTGCTCTAGGTGCCGAACGGCGGAGGCCGGATTGCCAGTCAGGTAGCGTAATCTGAAAGCTCGTGTATCGTACAGTCCATAGGACTTCCCTTCATGTGTTGTGACATCTATACATTTGTAGTCCCTTCTTTTCTCAATCGTCCATGATTCCTTCTACACACTAGTAACCTCACTCTCTCTCTCCTCTTTTTTTTTTTTTTTTTTGCTTTTTTTTCTCTCTCTCTCTCTTTTTTTATTTCGAACCACGAATATCCCTGCATTTCACAATCTCCCCGTCCGAGCTGGTCGAACGGCTCTAAATGTAAATATTCCTTCTTTTTGTTGCCAATCATGAACGTCTTTGCGCTTCATGCTGAACGTCATAAACATCTCTGTGCTTCATGACTTCCCCGCTCGGGCTGACCGAACGCCTATGAATGTGATTCTTTTCTGCCGGTAATGAATGTCTCTATGCTTCATGCCGAGCATCATAGATATCTTTGTGCTTCATGATTCCCCGTTCGAGCATATCGAACCAATTTCACTGCACAATCAGCATGGTAATACGGTCGAACGACCGAACAACATACACAAGTATATACACACACATGTGTAACATTTCTTTTTTATTCTTTATTTTTCATCCATGACTATCGGCCGAAGCGGTAATGATAACCCTTGGCCTAGATTTATCTTTTGAACTGCCCATACGCTCTTAGAACCACCTAGTGGTTTCCCGGGCGTTCTCAGGAAAGCTTTCAGCTAATTAAAGTACGTATTTCGCCCCGTAGTGGGTATAGTTGTCGTTCGGGCATTTAATACCGAGCGGAACCGCTCATGGTATCTAATTTTAACTACGTCATTGGGCCACGCCCTTGCGAGACGCTTTAGTTAATTCATTTAGGCCGACCGGAAGTGGACCGATCAGCCATTTAAACCAAACATTTATTTAAAACGTTGGTGATCTTATTTATAAAGCTCCGTTCGGCCTTATTCTATTCGGGAATTTTAATCCCTACTAAAATAATGGTGTTGCAATTAATAGTAAGAATACTATTTAATCAACCAATGAATACTCTCATGCATGAGTACTTGGTGTGTTGTCAAAGTAATACCATTTGGGGCACTCCGATCGCTTATATTTAGCCGATCGCGGGTTGGCCGGTCGGCCCATTAAACCAAATCATTTAATTTTAAATGATAATGGACTTGTCACTGGAGTCTCGCTCGGTCATTATTCAATTCAGGAAATTTAATCTCTACTAAACAAATAATGGCGATGTGTAACTAATAGTAATATTACTACATCATTTTATTTAATATTTTCATGGATGTCCGACCCATGCCGAACAGACTCATGGGTGGCTTCGAATTTAAAAAACGTGTCACCGAGAAAATGTCCTCCAAAGACGGTTCAGTCAATATTATTTGGGCCGATCGGGGATGGACCGACAAGCCCAGTCAAACCAAGCATTTAATTAAAATGTTGGTGAACTTATAATAAAACTTCATTCGGCATTATTCTGTTCGGGAATTTTAATCCCTTCTAAGTAATGGTTATTCAACCAATAGCAACTAATACTTTTAATGTATTAACGCCCGATGCCTAGCGGGACTTCATTGTATTAAAACGCGTCGCCGGAGTGATGCCCTTTGGGAGAACTCTGACCGCTTAACTACACCCAATCGAGGGTTGGCCAGCCGGCTCACAAAATCAATCACTTAATTTAAAATGATGATTCTCATCGGTAATGCTCCGACCGCAAATTAAGGCTGATCAGGTCCATAGATGCCCCGACCGCAAATTAAGGCCGATCGAGGTAACCCAATGGGCCCCACTACAACCAATTATTTTACTTTAAAAATGGCGGTGGATTTATCACTCGAGCCTGGCTCGGTATTTATTTCATTCGGGATATTTTAATCCCTACTAAACAAGTAAAGGCGATGCGTAACTAATAGTAATATTAACACATCATTTCATTTAATATTTTCATGGATGTACCGCCAATGCCGAACGGGTCGATAGATGCTCCGACCGCTAATTAAAAGCGGGAAAAGGGGCAAATAAGCCCTCGAACTAATCAAAAAAGTGCAAATAAGCCCTTTTGTAGGAGGTTCCGTCCGGCCATCGTCATTTGGGGAGGTTCCTGGTGGAATTTTTTGATGAAATTTTTTGAGCATGTTATTCATTAAGTCTAGTTTAGTCATACCGAATTTCAGCTAAAAATTCAATCGGGAAGACAGTCAAATGAATTTTTGAAGATAAATGTGCAGTTAAACAACGCAGTATATTTCCGAAAATCATTTGACTGCCTTCCCGGTTGAATTTTTAACTGAAATTTGGTATGGCTAAACTAGACTTAATGAAGAAGATGCTCAAAAAAATTTATCAAAAAATTCCACCGAGAAACTCCCTAAATGACGATGATCGGACAGAACCGCCTACAAAAGGGCTTATTTGCACTTTTTTTATTAGTTCGAGGGCTTATTTGCCCCTTTTCCCATTAAAAGCCGATCGGGTAGGCCAATGGGCCGCACCAATCATTTAACCACCAGACGGTGAGGTTGTCAACCGAACCTTGCTCGGCACCTATTTCTTTAGGGCTATTTTAATCCCTAGCTAAACAAATATTGATATCACACACAATAGGACCAACGTTCCTACCATTTTAATATGCGGTACTTTAATTAACGAGAGTAAGGGTTAAAGCACTTAGCTCTTTTGTAATAGGCTGGCGTAAAGTGGAATTGAGATAATCCTAACCGACATCCCCGTTCGGTGCTGGCCCCCCATTTGCCCAAATCTCAATTTGGTGCTCCACAATTTGTCGTGGTGGGCCCTGCTCTCTTGGAGTTCATCATCATAAGCATATCTCGCTCAAACATTGCTGACCACTCAAACCTTCCTGAGCATCGTTGCATTGTTGATCGATTCAAAAGAGTACTTGAGCTAACCAGACCCGGCGCTGCGACTAGGAGAAGCCGGACTGTGGTGAACATGAATAACGATCTGGACGGCGATCCCAGGCGGCGTGGTGCTAGACAGTAAGATGCCGAACGGGGAACTGCCGGTTGATGTGCCCAATTGGGGATCAAACTGAAGCTCTGCCGTTCGGTCAATGTGCCCATTTTCCTGGTCAGTTGAGCTTTCCTCTTCAGAAAACGATCAGCAGCACCAGATCCTCCATGGCCGCTCAATTAGTGTGCGGCTACGCCCGATCCAGTCGCTCAGGTAGTATAGCGTTCCAGATACCTGAAGTTGCTATCTGTCGTCATTCCTGTTGGCGGCAGCTACTGACTAGGTAGAAGATTTTTCCTTCGTAGGCCGTTCGGGCCACCACCTGCACAGGATCATCCATGTTTTCTTCCAGTTAACTTGTCAAAATGGACAGGCAGGGGAACGACCAGTATGGACTGGTTATGTATATTCCCGTTCGGCAAACGTCCAACCTCCCTTAAATGACCAAGATCGATGGGTGGTGCTAGTTGAGGAGCAATTCTTGTGGCCCTAAAAACGCCTTTGCCTCTCGAGATGGATCTGTCATGCTTCAATCATAACCCCGGCAAGCGTCCCTTTCCCAGTCGGGAAATACCGTTCGGTCAGGACATACCGTCCGGGTCTTGCTAAGTTGGAACCGTTCCTTCCTGCTGCGTGTGGATTCCCCTGTAGATCTCACTGATTGGTCGGGCACTCTAGAGCTCTCCTTTCTTCCGAGGCAGAACTCTCGTTCGGGCCTAGCTATTTTGAACTGGTTGCTTCCTGGGTGTTTTCCCTCTGGCTGTGGTTATTGGCTTTGGCGTTCAGGGTGCTCCCGTTCAGGAAGCAGGGACTTGGTTTGGTTTTTGGATAACCAAGACCTTGTCACATCATCTACTTTATTGTTGACTCGTCCACTTGTGCTATTATCAGGCTTTGTCATGCTTCTTTCTTTTGTGGGAGTATGGAGCAATTCGCCCTTATCCTTACTGCAAGCCATTGGGGATGCGGGCCCCACCTCCATTCTTCTCTCTTATCCAGTAAGCCTATTACATCAACTTTAGTAAGCTTACATTAACTTTTCTTGGCGTTCTTCTTCGGCCTTCTCTAAATCTTCAGGGTATGGCCCTAGTAATTCAACCCATGACTGTGCTGCTAAATTAGTGATTGTTTCTCCTTCTTTGGAATCCAAATTGGTGAGCTAGCTTGGAGCTCAAAATAAAGACGTAAATATCAGAACCTGTGGATCTCTTTTTTCGTAATAGTAAAACAATAGACTGCCTCTCCATGTTGGTGAAAACAATAGACTGCTTATCCCTGGTGTTGCTGGAAATCAGTCCATCTTCGCATGGAAGTTTTTTGTAGAATCAAGAATACGTGAATCTTTTTGTATCTATTCCCACAGACGGCGCCAATGTTGAGGTTTTGTCCCGCAGATCCGGAAGTCCAACATAAACTTCGGATATTAAGGACGATCGATTCGGTATAAACATAAATAAAATATATATAAGGTGTATGAACTAGCTATTTTTACGTGGAAACCCGGAAAGGGAGAAAACCACGGGACTTTTTAGGCTAACGTCCAAGCCCGCTCTTTTTCATTAGAGAAAATTATCTCTCTTATGACTAAAAGAACATGATGTTCTCAAAGTATGACTTCACCGGTTTTTTTCCTAATCTAATGCTCCTATCGCGTACATGGTCATAAACGTGCCTCCATTATTTATTTAAATTCCAATCATGTCCTGCACTAAACAATAAATAAGTATGGTAACTGCCAATCAAGTAGGATAGACGTAAACAAACTTTTACGTGAAACTCCTCATAAAGAATAAATTAAAAATGAATTAATTTCACTATGGTAACTGCTAAGTGCCTAGTAATATGGCTGTATGGATGTAAAATTGTAAATGTCTAAATGACATCCTAGAAACAAGGACGGGGAAATACGCACATGATATATGCTTACATTATTATTATTATTATTATTATCATTATCATTATCATTATCATTATCATTATCATTATCATTATCATTATCATTATCATTATCATTATCATTATCATTATCATTATCATTATCATTATCATTATCATTATCATTATCATTATCATTATCATTATCATTATCATTATCATTATCATTATCATTATCATTATCATTATCATTATCATTATCATTATCATTATCATTATCATTATCATTATCATTATCATTATCATTATTATTACTACTACTATGTAGTGTACTAATGTCCTCATTTTGTATGTTATGATTTTATGTGCTCATTTATTGTCCTCCTGAATGTGGATAGTCAAGTACACATGTCTTATTTCTATAGTAATAGAGATATTATTAGTGATTAACTTCTAATGTACTCATTTTAAAAAAAAACTTCTAATGTTCTCAATTAATTGTCTAATGTGTTATCATGTATGTATCAATTGGGCTGTAATTTATATATAAAATTGTCCTCATTTTCTCTATTATTGATTTAATTGGTATATTTACTGCCCACGTTTTTCTATAGATTTAATTTTACTGTCATCCTATAGGCAATAACTTTTATTATGCCCTATATGTCATATTTCCCATTTCTTACTACACCCGTATGTATCACGGAAGTAAATTATGTAGTGTGATGTCCTCATTATGTGTGTTATAATTTTTTGTATTCATTTACTGTCCTATGTATGGACAGTGTACATTCGTTTGAATGCCAAATGTGCTATTATTTATGTATCAATTGGGCAATAATTTATCGATGTCCCCATTTTCTCTAATATTGATTTAATCGGTACATTTACTGCCCTCATTTTTTCCCGATTTAATCGGTACATTTACTGCCCTCACTTTTTTCCTACTGATTTAATTTTATTTTAGGAAAAATTGACAAGAATAATCTCACCTTTCACTGGTCTTCTCATAATAATCCCACCTTTAAATAATCCCAAAATAATCCCACCTTTGCACCTCATCTTCTTTCATTGCACCCTGACCATGTTTTTTACTCTTTCTTTGAAAATTATACAAATAATCTCATCTTTCACTTTTTAATTATATCCTTATAAATGTAAGATTATTTATATAAGATTTTTAAAAAAGGTAAATAACTTGGTCAGGGTCCAATGAAAGAAGATGGGGTGCAAATGTGGGATTATTTTGGGATTATTTAAAGGTGGGATTATTATGAGAAGACCAATGAAAGGTGAGATTATTTTTGTCAATTTTTCCTTTATTTTATTGCCATCCTATGGGCAATAACTTTCACTATTCATTGCCTTTACGTTTATTGCACTACTGACTTCTATTACTGCTTTTACATTTACTAAAATGCCAAATAATATAAAAAAAATAGTATTGTAAAATCATTTAGCCATTATCTACTAAATATGACTCTAGTATAAATATGTCTATGGGAATAGTTCGTTTTTTTTATAAGTGAATTTTTATTAAAAAATAGTAATAAAAAGTACATCCGCTAATGAATGTAGTTATTGAAAGAAATTGCTAATGAAAACATAAAATAGTTCGTTCTAAATCTAATTGTAAAATAATTCAATATAAACTTCAATTATATTAAACTGCAGTTTATACATGCAAAAGAAAATATTACGAATATCAATTATTAATTAATTGTAAATCACGGATGTCCTTTTTTAAAATATGACTCCATGCCATTAGGAGTAGCAGTTACGGTTTCTACAATATTGCGTATTAATTGCCTTGATTCCATTTTGAAAAGATTCATTTTTTTATTAAACGTGTGATCACAAGAGGTAATAGAGTAACATTGCATGTATATTAAATATCCATCTATATGCATAGGCACGTTTTTAGTCATACGTTGGACATAATTCATTTTCAGTCATACATTGAGAAACTCTCCTTCTTCTAGTCATATAACCGTATTTTTCCCTTTTCATTAATATGCTCTCCTCACCAATTACATATTACAACTCTTGAACTCCATTAATGGAGGTATAAAGCTATCTATCAAAGGGGAAGAAGAAGTATGGAGGAGGAGAGCCAAAAGATCAGATCCTTTCATCAGGAAGCCAACCTTCCTATTTATAGATGGGGGAGGGAGTAAGGGTTTTCTCCATGGGCCTTGTTGGGCCGGAATGGGCCGAGTAGGTCCCAACGGGCCGGTTGGCCTAAATGATCCTTGCTAACTGGGCCCTGTACCGGGGCGGTGTATTGGGCCTCTAAACAGTAGTAGGCCGGGGTAATATACCCAACAGAAATATACTACTATAACACACGTATGGCCAAATTATACATACAAAACAATGTATGAAAGTTCTAATAGGAAGCTGAATCCAAATCCACCTGCAATCCCATTTATCGCATTACAAAACTATGCATATGCCACCTTGATATATCTCCAAATCCCATGGATCATAAAAGAGGTATGTAGTATATATAAAATTGAGTATGTACTCATATATACGTATATATAATTGGGTTTTATATGAGTTTAATAATTGAGTATGAAATATTATCGTTGCTTATTCATACGTATAAAAAAGCTGAAAAAATTCGGCCATGTTACTTGCTCTTCAACGAAAAGCGTTTAATTTGATTTCCGCTCACAACATAAATTACCTCTTCTTGGAATAACTTCAGTCGAATACGGCTGAAATAGAGAAAGAGCAGAAGCTTGTTTCGATCACTTTCCGTTGAAACCTAACTAACGTAGGGATGATAATATTTTATTAATTAAATAAAAGCCACATGTATAATTGACTTGGGCTATGGACTGTACGCATTGGAGGAATTTTTCTTAAGTGAAAGTTCCGCTAGTCCACTTTGTGTGATGTAGAATAGAAATCCTTTTAATTAATTGACATGTGGCACATTTCACACGCACCAGGAAGTTTGCCATTGGGGTTGCTCTAAGTCAGCTAGTCTAGGGCGGCGATGTCTCTACTCGCAAAGTTATCTTGATAGTATGTAGCAGTTTCTTTGCCAAGTCGGCCAAAGTGAATTGAAGACTACGTGCATTGGAAGAGAAAATAAATACTCCCTAAAAGATGTCTAATTTAATGAGGTGACATATTTTTCACCTAGACACCTCTGATCTTCACGTAAATTAAGAGTTACAACGTACTTTATTAGAGTTTCATCTAGACACCTCTGATCTTCACGTAAATTAAGAGTTACAACGTACTTTATTTAGTAGGATTTTAATTTGCCAAAAAAAGTAGGATTTTAATTTCTTAAAACAATTTTAAGTTTTTTAATTAGGAATATGAACGGAAATGATTAAAGCTTGTTCTTGAACAGAACAGAAGTGATGATATGTAAGCTCGAAAGTGATTAAATTATCCACGCTTTAGGATATTTTCAATTTGACTCAAATTTTCTCATTTGATTTGGTTTGATTTAGTCCGTTTTGATCTGAACTGGTCTGGTCTGGTCTAGTCTGGCCTTGTAAATTTCAGGTCTTTGTTTATTTTATAATTATCCAAGTCGGGTCTGGTCAGGTCTGATAATTTGGTCTGATCTAGTCTGATCAGGTCAGATTCGGTTTTGTTTGATCTGGTCTGATGCTGAAAACAGTTCAAATAAAAACATCTTTATTTAGACTTTGTAATTGTAATTATTACTACTGTCTTCAAACATACTACGTATATAACATGTTTGAAAATGTAAGACTTCCTACGACTTGAAAATGTTATCATAGTTTCATTAATACAATGTTTATATAGAAAGTAACTACTGCCTATAAATCTATAAAACGAGTAAAACATTGCATTTTTCTCTAAATAGAAGTTAACTCATAATCTTCTCCAAATTAAATAGGAGTAAACATTAATTTTTTACTTTAATACCTTTATTCTAATTAATTAATTGCCCTCCCTAGTATGTTCCCTTGGGCAATCGCCAATCGGGGCAGTCTGGTGGGAATTCTAATTAATACCCCTATTTTGAAGACTTTTCTAATCTTCATCTTTTTCTCTCTTTATCCCAACCTGATTCACCAATTTGATCAAGATTAATTTATTGATCACAGATGAATTGTTTGAAGCCTTGAAAATAGTAGTTTTTTGGTCACCGACTACCGTTTGGGCTCCTCGGTTGATTGGCTTCAATTCTTCACAAACCGCTGAGGCACTCACCGCTTTTTAGCATTCTTTACGCTTGTTGATATTGGAATTTGGAAACAACAAATCAATTTGGATGAGCTTTGCGAATTGGGAGTGTTGGACTTTGGAGGCTAACATAACTTGGAAATTTTATAATTAAAAGGATTAGTCTTGGACACTGGCGGGGTGGCCCGACCTGGAACTAGCCCGGGACCGGCACTGTGCTGAATTGGCCCGGCCCGGTGGCCCGGCCAGTGACCGGTCCTGGTAGGCCCGGCACGGGGGGTTCCCGGTGAGGGCTCGGATCACCCAAAAGCCGAACCGGCCCGGCCGTTTCGGGCCCGGTTCCGGGCTTTTTAATTTTTTTTTATCTATTCGGGTTGGGATTGGTATTTTGGGCGATTTGGGAGTGGTTTGGGGGGTTAATTAGGAAAAGGAAAAAAATTGACACGAGGCCCGGCCCGGACCGGACCCGGTGGCTACCCGGTCCGGTCCCGGGCCTCCTTCAAAAGAGGCCCGACCGGGCCTAGGCCCGACCCGGGTCCATGACTAAAAAGGATTATAAAACTTAGAGGCACGTCACTTTACATTTATT